AGCAGAAACCTTATTGTGAACTGCACATGTAAGGGATCCCGGTTGCATGCTCCTTATGAGGATCTAATGACTGATCTGTCACTGTCTCCCATTACCCCCTGAGAGGACCCATCTAGTTGCAGGAAAACAAGCTCAGGTCTCCCACTGATTCTACATTATGATGAGTTGTATAATAATTTCATCATATATTACAATGTAATAATAATAATAGAAATAAAGTACACAACAAACATAATGTGCTTGAATCATCCTGAAACCATCCCTCCCCTCCCTACCATCCCCAACCCAATCCATGGAAAAATTGTCTTCCATGAAACCAGTCTCTGGTGTCAAAAAGGTTGGGGACCCCTGCTTTGTAGGCCCCTTTCTCTCAGCCTACACGTTCCTTCCACTCTTCACTTGAAAAAAACCATTCTTTCTTCCACACATAGTTAGACCATGTCCTCCCCCATGAAGACTTCTGTGTGCATCCAGGAAGAGTTAGTGTCTCCCTCATTTGAATTCCAGAAATGATGGTAATTCCCACCAACCCCACACAAGAGCAGCTCACATTCATTGGACATTTGCTATGACCCAGGCACCATGGGGCTCCTTACATGAACTAAGGCTCACAGCAATCAGATGTGGAGGATTCTGTTACTAACACAGCCCCCAGGCCCCTTACTGTACAAGTGGGGAAGCCAGAATGCAAATCCAAGCCCCCTGACCCTACAGCTTTGCTCAGAATCCCTGCGCACTGCCTGGCACCCTGCTGGAGCAGCTGTACCCTAAAGCCCAGCCATTCCTGTGGCTCTGACTCTGACCCACTGGTCTTAAGAGGCCTTAGCTCCTTGAAGCAAGGGTTGGGTTTCTCATCTTTAGAATCCTCCAACACTATAATGGATTCCCTAGAAGGAGAGCCTGAGAGTGTGGTTCTTGAGGTGATTTATTGAGGGAGGGCTCTCAGGAGAAACTATAAGAAATTAAGGGAAGCAAGATAGGGCCCAAGGAAAAGTAGGGGAAGATGTGATTTCAAAGTCCAATCTCTGCCTGATCTCAGCAGGAGCTGTGGCATGTAAATTACTTCACAGTTTATCTCACTCAGAGACAAGGAGGCTGGGTTCTCATAGCTGCCACCCCTGTCAGTCACTCCTTCCTATAAGTCATACCCTAATGAGAGGGAAGGCAGCTCAGGGTGGGTGAGGCATCTCCCATCAGGCCATGGCAGTGCTCACACTCACAGCGCCTGAATGCATCACCCTAATGAAGTGCACCGGCAGCATCTGCTGCAGTCACCAGTTTTTAAAAAGTATTAAACAGCATATGCAGGCACTTCCTGTCCAGCCAGTGGCTGATTTCATCCTCTGTAGTGGACACTCCCAGAACCCAAATCTAATGAATCAGTGAATTAGAAGTCACTGTATCTCCTATAGGGCTGCCCACCCCTACCACCTTTTCCCACAGGACTGCACTGCACAGACCTCAATGGGTGTTCAGCATCCAGCCTCACATCTCCAAAGATCATGGGAGCTGCGACACAGAACATTAACGGAAATACAAGCTTGTTCATTAGTATTTTATTCTAGCACCACACTGCTTCCCGTGAAGAAAGATAAGGAAATAAGTATGGTAGATTTTTTTTTCTTTTTTACTTTGCAGCACAAAAGATTGTGTTGATACTTCCTCAAGAGTTGAAAAATAAAACATAAGGAGGGAAAGCACTGCCCCCAAGACAGTGCTATGACCTGCATGTGATTCTCTGGCAGCTACAGGGGACTTTTCTTTCCTGGCTTCTCCCTTGATTTGGAAAGGAGGAGCTCTGGAATCGAAACAGTATCGATTGTTCTTGTTTGCTGTGCACTCCCTTTTAAAAATAGCTGAATCTAATCCTGTTTGGGCTAGCATACCAGGAAAGTAATCACCTGTTCCTGAGGGTAAAAGGAAATCTGATCCAAAGGACTCTACCAATGTCCTATTTCAGTTTTTCAGAGGAGGTTTTCCAGTTTTAATAACTTAAAGCCCTCATTACAGTAAAGGTTTCTCTGCCTCCTGTGGCTCAGGCAGCGAACAGGGAGAGCTGTCCTGCTTTCCTCTGTTGATTTCTGAAGAGACCTCTCGCTTCCCAATTGTCCAGCCAACATTGTCAACTGAGGTGTGGTTTGTCCTCAGGTATGAAGACCCTCCACAGCTTTGTATTTTTCCTTTACGGAAATTCCCATATGCTTTTTCTTTATACAGCACAACATCCCATAGGGATGCACAGGCTGGATGGGAGAGTGCTGTTATGTGGGGCAGCAAACCGGCAAAGCCTCCCCAGGCATCTCTGCTGACCTGGGGTGGTTTAATAAGTGTTCAGAATTGTCCTTGGCTGATTTTCACTGTCCCTAGCTGGTAAGGCTGCAGTGATAGCCCCATGTTAATTATCAGCTCTGTCCTCACCTGTCATATTGCCATTCCTACCCATGGCAGCTCCTAAATCTGGCTGCCCCTTAGAGTTGCCTGGCAAGACTTAATCTAACTCCTGAGACCTGCTGAATTGGAATCTGTCGGAGGATGAGCTTCAGGAATCTTCAATTGAACAAGCTTTCCAGGAGATTTTTTAGCACCCAGCCCAACGTGTGTTCTCTGCCTCTAATGGAGTGGTTTCAGCCAGGGATAAAGTCAGTTAGAGACATCTAGTCTGGAACAAGTCAAATGGAAGTTCAGGCCAGAAGGTGCAAAGAGCTTCTCCATACCCTGTGACTTCTCCACGCTTTCCTATCCCCACTCTTTTTTTTTTTTTTTCTTTCTTTTGACAGAGTCTCACTTTGTCACCCAGGCTGGAGTGCAGTGGCGCAATCTCGGCTCACTGCAACCTCCGCCTCCTGGGTTCAAGCGATTTTCCTGCCTCAGCCTTCTGAGTAGCTGGGACTACAGGCATCCACCACCATGGCCAGCTAATTTCCCATCCCCACTCTTTATCCCGGGTTGACAGAGAGGGTGCAGAATAGTCAGATTACCCTCCATGGTATTCAGCTGTTCTCATTTAACAATCCACACACCCATCCATCCATCCAACCATCCAACCATCCATTCATTCATTCAAACATCTGTTGAGCTTGGGCTCTAAATATAAGACCCTGTGCAATAGGGTCTGTAAAGGGGATACCCTGGATCTTCCTTCTGTATGGTAATAAGCCCATCCACAGATCATGCCAGCCCAGTGTTTTCCCTTCTCAAAAAGAGCAAGCAGAGCTCAGCTCAGAGCCCTCACCCAGGCAAGAAAATAATTACATTGATTTTTTCCATTGTGTTGATTTTTCTAAATATGATAGATAATACTGTGTTTTCATTTATTGTAATGACATAGAATTTTCCTTTTAAATAAGCCTATTAGTGAACACCACAATGTGATATCACCGTATGCTCATTGGAATTTAAAAGACTAAATACTAAGTGTGGATGAGAATGCAGACCAACTGGAACTGTCATACAATGCAGGTGGTAGTACAAAATGGTACAACAACTTTGGAAAACTGGTTGGCAGTTTTCTGTAATGTTAAATATACATATACCATACAACCCAGCAATTCGCTTCCAAGGAATTTACCCAAGAAGAATTAAAACATATGTCTACAAAAAGACTTGTATATAGATGTTCATAGCAACTCTATTCGTAGTATCCAAAAGCTAGAAATAGTCAAGGTGTCCATCAACAAGACGGGGGTACATCCACACTCTGGAATACTGCTCCAGAAAAAAAGGACCGATCACTGCTCCATGCAGCAACATGGATGAGTCTCACACCAAACAGAGGAAGTCAGACACAAATTAGTACATATTTCCAATTCCATTTCTATGTAAGTGTAGGGAAATTAATCTCTAGTGATATCAAGCAGATGAGTGCTTGCACAAGGCAACTTTTTAGGATGATGGAAACATTCTGTATATTAATATGGTGATAGCTCCACAGATGTGTATAAAACTCTTCAAACTGTGTGCTTACAAATCATGAAGACGGTAGTGGGATACCTGAAATTTAGGAAATGATACTCCAGGACATAGTTAGAGTGGACAGTATCCTAAAAGAAGCGCAGATGAAATGCTGTGAAACTTCCAAGGGAGGCATAATTTATTCCAGTGGGAAGATGGGCCAGTGGTGGGAGCTTCACATAATGGATGACATTTCTGGGGAGGCCATAAGTACAGATGGGGCCAGAATGAATATATATATGAAATGAATTGAAATTAACATCAAGGGCTTGAAATAGGTAGAGGAGGGGCAGAGAGGGGTCCAGAAAAAGCCACGTACCAAAGGGAAATAGGAAGAATGGGGGAGACCCCCCTACCTTTCTCTTTGTGACATCCAAAGGCCTTTTTAATTGGTGAAACCTGGGCTTATGAGCTTCAGCACCAGCTGATAGACAGTTGCTTCTTTTCCCCTGGGTTCCTCTGCTCAGAGAACTTGAGTGGCAGCACAGCTTTTGGGCAGGACCAGGACTAGGTTGTGGCAAGCAAGGCACTGAGGTCACATTGTAGGAGACAAGGTCGTGTAAGAAACCCAAGCCTGCATTTCCAGGCCCCTAACAGAGAGTGCTTCCCAGGCCTTAGCCGAGTCGTAGCCATGCTTTCTGGTGATCTGGGAGCAGGATCCTCAGTGGCTAATTCATTCACGACCATGGCGACTACTTACTCCAGGCCAGGCCCTAGATTAAACACCATATTGGATACCAGTCCCCAGCAAGTCCATATCTAGCAGGGATGGTAAAAATAAATGTGAAAGGGGAAGCCCAGGGGCTATACTCAGAGGAAAGATACTGGGCGCAGACTGGCAGTCAGAAAACTTTTTAAGAACAAGTGAAACCTCAGCTGAGATTTGAAGAAGGCAAGTTCAAGTGAGAGTGTAGGTTGGTCCCTGTTAGACCTGCCTGGTCTAGGATTTGGAGCTTGGCCTTAGAAACTGAGAATCCACTGAGCACTGATTTGTAAAAACTGATGTCTCCTGTCTCCCCACATTCCCTGCCCCATGCCTTTGTAGGTTTGTGACAATGCCGAAAAAGCCCTACAGTGCCCCGCTGTCCCAGATGGAGTCCATCCCAGCAACCTCACCGACTGCCAGCTCACCAGCAATCCGAGTTGCGGTAGAGTCCCCCGAGATGGATTTAAATAATTCTGTTAAGTAAGTACAAATGCAAAGCCAACACGGATTTTTTTAATAGCTTTCTTTATACTGACTTAATTCTCAACACTCATCCCTCAGTAGTTCATTCATCCAGTCCCCAGTCCACAGTTTAGTAAGTGTCTTCTATGCGTAGGCCTCAAACTAGACATCTGGAGTAGGGAGGGTGGTACCATCATAAGCCCTGGGGGACTGAGCCCTCCCTATCGTATTGTCCTCTCTGTATGTCCAAGGTCTACAGCTAGGATTAGGTCCAGGGATGGGCCAGGAAAGACGAGTTGGGCCCTGGGAAAAACTGACCAGTTCAGTGGCCTAGACCACATGTTTTGGAGCATAGGACAGCAGACCCCTGATCAGCTGACCTCTTGAGAAAGGTGTCCCTTGACTGGGAACCCCCCTACTTTTTAGGGTATGGTAGAGGGAGAAAAGGAAGACAGGGCAGTTACGCACCTGAGACTGTGGTGATGACGGCCCAATGAGTGAATCTCTGCATTTCATTCACCTCCCCAGGACTCTTCTTGTGAATGAAGATGCCAGTCTTGAAGAAAAAGAACTTAGAAAAACGAAAGCGTCCATTGTGGTCTCAGATGTACGGTGTCCTTTCCCTGGGGAGGGTTGGCAGGTCAGGGTCCTTCCCATAAAACAAAGACAGAACCAGAAGCAGAGTGGCCAGTGCAATGCTTGGGTTTAGTTGGGACACAGCTGCACAGTTTTACCCACATCTCTTCCCAGCCAGACACCCCAGAGCCAACACTCAGGGACAACCCAGGACACCTTAGCACATGGATCTTCTCTACAGTGGAAAAGCCATTTATCTCTAAACTTTGGTGATCTTGCAGTATTCCTATACCCTAGACAGAGGATACTAAAGGAGAAATATTTTCTTAATAATTCCATAGCAAAAACAAAAAGAGCAAGAGAGCTTAAAAATTAATACCCTTAAATTCTCCTTCTAGAATGATGGCTTAAGGAAGCTATTGGAGATACAAAGATATGCATACAAAGATGCTTGTTACAACATTTTAGGAATAGCAGAAAATGAAAAATAAATTACTGCATGTACATGATGAGATGCAAACTTTTAAGATAGTGCTGAGTGGGATTTTCCTGTGGTGTGGGTGAGAGTATGAATTGGCATAACCTCTATAACATACAACTTGGCAAGTATATCAAAATTTTAAATGCATTGACCCCCTTCTAGAAATTATCCTCCAGATACACCTCTTCATTTGCATAAGGTATTTTATTATCCTTGTACACTGCAGCTTTGTTTATAAAAGCAAAAAATGTTGGAAATAACTTAATTCCTCCAATAGGAGACCATCTGAATAAACTAAATTACATCTATACAAGGCAATCTATGAAATTCTTTTTTAAAATCAGAAAGTTCTCTATATATTCATTTGGCACAATCTCTGATATATTAAGAAAAAATGCTCAGTGCAAAACAAAGTGTATTGTGTGCTACCATTTGTATAAAGAAAAAGTCAGTAAAAGCAACCAACACTTACTGAGCACTGATCTAAGCTCAAAGCTTCCATATATATATTTATTACACTTAGGTTCTGGGGTACATGTGCAGAACATGCAGGATTGTTGTATAGGTACCTACATGGCAGTGTGGTTTGCTGCTTCCATCCCCCCATCATCTATATCTGGCATTTCTCCCTATGTTATCCCTCCCAAACTCTCTACCCCCCACTGTCCCTCCCCATTCCCCCCCAAAAGACCCCAGTGTGTAATGCTCCCCTCCCTGTGTCCATGTGTTCTCATTGTTCAACACCTGCCTATGACTGAGAACATACAGTGTTTGATTTTCTGTTCTTGTGTCAGTTTGCTGAAATTATGGTTTCCTGATTCATCTATATCCCTACAAAGGACACAAATGCATCATTTTTTATGGCTGCATAGTATTCCATGGTGTATATGTGCCGCATTTTCCTTGTCCAATCTATCATCAGTGGGCATTTGGGTTGGTTCCAGGTCTTTGCTATTGTAAACAGTGCCACAGTGAACATATGTGTGCATGTGTCTTTATAATAGAATGATTTATAATCCTTTGGATATATATCCAGTAATGGGATTGCTGGGTCAAATGGAATTGCTATTTCTAGGTCCTTAAGGAATCGCCACACTGTCTTTCACAATGGTTGAACTAATTTACACTCCCACCAACAGTGTAAAAGTGTTCCTATTTCTCCACATCCTCTCCAGCATCTGTTGTCTCCAGATTTTTTAATGATCACCATTCTAACTGGTGCGAGATGGTATCTCATTGTGGTTTGTTTTGCATTTCTCTAATGACCAGTAATGATGAGCATTTTTTTCATATATTTGTTGGCCTTATAAATGTCTTCTTTTGAAAAGTGCCTGTTCATATCCTTCATCCACTTTTGAATGGGTTTGTTTGTCTTTTTTTTTTTTTTGTAAATCTGTTTTAGTTCTTTGTAGATTTTGGACATAAGTCCTTTGTCGGATGGGTAGATTGCAAAAACTTTTTTCCCATTCTGTTGGTTGCCAGTTCACTCCAGTGATTGTTTCTTTTGCTGTACGGAAGCTGCGGAGTTTAGTTAGATGTCATTTGTCTATTTTGGCTTTTGTTGCCAGTGCTTTTGGTGTTTTAGTCATGAAGCCCTTGCCTATGCCCATGTCCTCAATGGTTTTGTCTAGGTTTTCTTCTAGGGTTTTTATGGTGGTAGGTCTTATGTTTAAGTCTTTAATCCATCTGGAGTTAATTTTAGTGTAAGGTATTGGGAAGGGGTCCAGTTTCTGTTTTCTGCACATGGCTAGCCAGTTTTCCCAACACCATTTATTAAACAAGAAATTCTTTCTCCATTGCTTGCTTTTGTGAAGTTTGTCAAAGATCAGATGGTTGTAGATGTGTGGCGTTGCCTCCAAGGCCTCTGTTCTGTTCCATTGGTCTATATCTCTGTTTTGGTACCAGTACTATGCTGTTTTGATTATTGTAGCCTTTTAGTAAAGTTTAATGTCAGGTAGTGTGATGCCTCCAACTTTGTTCTTTTTGCTTAGAATTGTCTTGGCTATGCAGGCTCTCTTTTTGTTCCATATGAAGTTTAAGGTGGTTTTTTCCAGTTCTGTGAAGAGGTTCATAGGTAGCTTGATGGGAATAGTGCTGCATCTATAAATTACTTTGGGCAGTATGGCCATTTTCACAATATTGACTCTTCCTAACCATGAGCATGGAATGTTTTTCCATCTGTTTGTGTCCCGTCTATTTCCTTGAGCAGTGGTTCGTAGTTCTTCTTGAAGAGGTCCTTTATATCCTTTGTTAGTTGTATTCCTAGGCATTTTATTCTCTTTGTAGCAATTGTGAATGGCAGTTCGTTCTTGATTTGGCTGTCTTTAAGTCTGTTATTGGTATATAGGAATGCTTGTGAGTTTTGCACGTTGATTTTGTATCCTGAGACTGCTGAAGTTGCTTATCAGTTTCAGGAGATTTTGGGCTGAGACAATGGGGTCTTCTAAATATACAATCATGTCATCTGCAAATAGAGACAATTTGACTTCATACATTCCTAATTGATTACCCTTTATTTCTTTTTCTTGCCTGATTGCTCTGGCTAGAACTTCCAATATTATATTGAATAGGAGTGGTGAGAGAGGGCATCCTCGTCTAGTGCCAGATATCAAAGGGAATGCTTCCAGTTTTTGCCCATTCAGTATGATATTGGCTGTGGGTTTGTCATAAATAGCTTTTATTATTTTGAGATGCATTCCGCCAATACCTACTTTACTGAGAGTTTTTAGCATAAAGTGCTATTGAATTTTGTCGAAGGCCTTCCCTGCATCTATTGAGATAATCGTGGTTTTTGTCTTTGGTTCTGTTTATGTGGTGGATTACACTTATAGACTTGTGTATGTTGAATCAGCCTTGCGTCTGCGGGATGAAGCCTACTTGATCGTGATGGATTAGTTTTTTGATGTGCTATTGCAATCAGTTTGTCAGTATTTTATTGAAGATTTTTGCATCTATGTTCATCATGGATATTGGCCTGAAGTTTTCTTTTCTTGTTGAGTCTCTGCCGGGTTTTGGTGTTAGGATGATGTTGGTCTCATATAATGATTTGGGAAGGATTCCCTCTTTTAGGATCATTTGGAATAGTTTCAGAAGGAGTGGTACCAGCTCCTCTTTGTATGTCTGGTAGAATTCGGCTGTGAACCCATCTGGACCTGGGCTCTTTTTGGTTGGTAGGCTATTAATTGCTGCCTCAACTTCAGCCCTTGTTATGGGTCTATTCAGGGTTGTGACTTCTCCCTGGTTTAGGCTTGGGAGGGTGCAAGTGTCCAGGAATTTATCAGTTTCTTCCAGGTTTACTGATTTATGAGCATAGAGTTGTTTGTAGTAATCTCTGATGGTAGTTTGTATTTCTGTGGAGTCAGTGGTGATATCCCCTTTTTCGTTTTTTATTGCATCTATTTGATTCTTCTCTCTTTTCTTTTTTATTAATCTGGCTAGTGGTCTATTTTGTTGATCTTTTCAAAAAACCACCTCCTGGATTTATTGACTTTTTGAAGGGCTTTTTGTGTCTCTATCTCCTTCAGTTCTGCTCTGATCTTAGTTATTTCTTGTCATCTGCTTGCTTTTGAGTTGTTTTGATTTTGCTCCTCTAGCTCTTTCAATTTTGATGATAGGATGTTGATTTTAGATCTTTCCTTGCTTCTCATGTGGCCATTTATTGCTATAAATTTCCCTGTAGACATTGCTTTAAATGTGTCCCACAGATTCTGGTATGTTGTGTCTTCATTCTCATTGGTTTTGAAGAACATCTTTATTTCTGCCTTCATTTCATTGTTTATCGAATCAATATTCAAGAGCCAGTTGTTCAGTTTCCATGAAGTTGTGTGGTTCTGAGTTAGTTTCTTAATCCTGAGTTCTAATTTGATTGCACTGTGGTTGAGAGACTGTTATGATTGCTGTTCTTTTGCATTTGCTGAGGAGTGATTTACTTCCAATTATGTGGTCAATTTTAGAGTAAGTGTGATGTGGTGCTGAGAAGAATGTATATTCTGTGGATGTGGGATGGAGAGTTCTGTGGATGTCTGTTAGGTTTGCTTGGTCCAGATCTGAGTTCAACTTCTGGATATCCTTGTTAATTTTCTGTCTCCTTGATCTGTCTAATATTGACAGTGGAGTTTTAAAGTCTCCCACTGTTACTGTGTGGGAGTCTACGTCTCTTTATAGGTCATTAAGAACTTGCTTTATGTATCCAGGTGCTCCTGTATTGAGTGTGTATCTATTTAGGATAGTTAGCTCCTCTTGTTGCTAACTTTTGACTTCTTCCTGGTTTAGGCTTGGGAGGGTGCATTACACTTTTACCATTGTGTAATGCCCTTCTTTTTCTCTTTTGATCTTTGTTGGTGTAAAGTGTATTTTATCAGAGACCAGGATTGCAACTCCTGCTTTTTTTTTTTTTCCACTCT